AGGAATGAGAGGGAATAGGTGGCGAAGGAGGAAGAGGAAGGGAGATAGTGAGAGAAGAACGGAAAGAGGAATAAATAGCGGGGAAGGATGGAATGAAAAGGCAATAATGAGGATGGAAGAGGTAAGGAGAGAGAGAGAGAGAGAGAGAGAGAGAGAGAGAGAGAGAGAGAGAGAGAGAGAGAGAGAGAGAGAGAGAGAGAGGGGGGGAAGAAGGGTCAACAACGCAGGGAAAATAATGAGAAGGAAAAAACAGTGTCCCTGAGAGGATGAGCAAGTAAAGAGTGAAGGTGATTTAGCGAGGAGAGGAAATTAACTTCATAGATATACCAAAATGAACAATACAATGACAGATTAAGACTGAGGCAACACCCCCCACCACCTCTACAGAAAATATCTAAAAGTGTTTGGTTTATCATGAAAAAAAAAAGATCTTTAGAGAGAATAATAATAATGCAACTTAAAATAAATAAAAAAAAATCGATAATATCCGGTTTGAATGCAAGATCCACTAGAATATAAAGCTAAATAAATGGGAAATTTCCTAATCGAAATCTTACTTAAAAATAACTACTCAATATATTTCAGCCATTATCTCAATCAAGTTTAAAATTAACTAACTAACAAAATCAGAATTCAAACTTTCGAAATTTACTAGGTTTAAAAAAAAAATTGCACCCTGTCTTAAAATTAATGTAGACCCTCCCAGACATTGCGGTGTAGGTTCGCCTGTCTGTCTGTCTGTTTCTATAAGCTTCACTGTCTCTTTACCTGTCAATGTTTTTTTTTTAATATTTATGTTTTATTCTTTATTTTTCTCTTTCTTGTTCGTTTTATTTCATATTTTAGAAGTCTGAGAGAGAGAGAGAGAGAGAGAGAGAGAGAGTCTTGACCATTACACTTTCTTGACAGGCTGAAAGAAAGAAAGAAAGAAAGAAAGTAAGAAAGAAAGAAAGAAAGACCACATATCCGTCCATCATATCACACATCACTACATCTTTCTTAATCAAAATACTTGAAAAATCTAATCCATTATAATACATCATTGTTTTCTCTCACTCTCGGGACCAGCAAGATGAGGCCTCAGTCGTTAGGTTGAGAGAGACAGAGAGAAAGAGAAAGAGAGGCAGAGAGAAAGAAAGAGAGAGAGAGAGACGAAGAAGAAAAAAAAAACGGGAGTGTGTGGCAGACAAAGGGCGGTGTGTGAGAGGCGGCGGAAGGCGACACTGCCGCTGATAATGGGCTGCCACGCTGCCACTCCCGTCAGATATAGCGCCTCTCACGCCTACTGTGTGCGCTGGGTTTCGACGCCCAGAAGAGAACAGCGCTGACACCTGCCGCTCTGAAAAGCCTTGGCGTTAACACCTGTTGTGCTGAGACACAGCAGACATGCAGCAGTGCCACAGGTGAGTCAGGTAGCAGTGCCACAGGTGAGTCAGGTAGGGTGAACCAATAAGCAGTGCCACAGGTGAACCAATAAGCAGTGCCACAGGTAAACCAATAAGCAGTGCCACAGGTAAACCAATAAGCAGTGCCACAGGTAAACCAATAAGCAGTGCCACAGGTGAACCAATAAGCAGTGCCACAGGTAAACCAATAAGCAGTGCCACAGCTAAATCACACAACCTTAACTTTTAGCAGCGTCAGACAGCTCAATGAATGCTAATACTAAACGACTAACTCACACACCGAAATAACTCTACCCCGCCCGGCCTGGACACACACGTAACTCATGATTAACATACAATTATCATCTAACATTACCTAATTAACACGGAAAATAACAACAACCAATCATAACGACTTAACAGATGAAAAAAAAAATAAGGTAATTAATTTAACACAGATAGTTAATTAACAAATGAATCAATGGCCATTTACCTTACCCAATTACACGTGTTAACTCTCGCCTTAACAATATCCACTAACATTTACTTTAATGAAATGGCAATAAATCAACTAATTAAATAAGGCTTTATCCTCGTCCTTTTCCTATGTTCAATTAAATCTTCAGTCAAAGATTCTCTCTGTTCACCACCAACCTCGACCCCTCCTCCTCCCCCTCCTCTTCCTTATTTTTTTTACTCCTCTTCCCTGTTTTCTTTTCTCCTCTTACTCATTATCGTCCTCTTACACCCTCTCTTTCCCTTTTCCTCACGGCCTTTGTGTCTTATTTTCGTCCTCTTCTTCCATTCATTCTCCTCTTAGTCATTATCGTCGTATCTGACCTCCCCTGACCTCCCCACCTCCTCTTTCTCCCCCTTACTCATCGTCCTCTACCGTCCCCTCTGACCCAACCTCTCCTTTCTTCCTCCCCAGTCTCCCCTCACCTCCCCCTTCAGTGTTTATCTGCACTACCAAGACACCAAAGAGAGTCATTATTCCCCTCTTTGTTTTGCTCGCCCTCTGTCACTGGAGCGATACAACCCGCCCCGTCACACGCACGCAAGCAACACCCGCGCCCCCCACGCCAAACTCTTCCTTATTCACGGTACTGATAAGAGTGGTTTTCATCGATGGGAACTAAGAGGTGTTTAAGTCCCTCGTGTAGGATGTCACCAGCACCTATTGAACGGGGTGTGTGCAACATTGCATCGCTTAAGTAGTTTTGCCGAGCTCGTGGGAGTGTCTCGTGATGATGTATATACCCTCGACCACCCACCCGACCCGACCCCACCCCCCCACCCACCCCATCCGACCCGACCCCACCCCACCCGACCCCACCCACCCCATCCCCGACCCCACCCCACCCGACCCCACCCCCCCATCCGACCCGCCCCACCCCACCCACCCGCCAGTCCGTTCGTCATTTGCACTGGCGACAGTTATGTTATGTTTCTCTTCATTCCTTAATTTGTGAAGATGTTTTAGCTAAATGTTATAGTCGGATTTGATCGATTAACCACAAATACTTCTCCTCCTTACAAGACTAACCACAAATTCATCCATTCATCCGTCACTACATCTGTAAAACACTTTTTATTCGTTCAAAGTGTTGGCTGAGAGTACATCCACACAGATCCATTAGCCGTCAGTATATCTCCCTCACAGCGTCTTATAATAGGCCTAGGTACTGTACTATAATTTCCGGCGATACAATCACACTCACTATAACGTAAAGGGTACCGGGCGTATAGTACACACACCGCCCCCCGTCAGCCATATCATCGAGCTACTCTATCTGCCACATCGCCCTCCTGTTGCAAAATTATGAGAAAAAAAAAACTTGCGACATCTTACTAGTTGCGGGGCAGATATCGACAGGCCGGAGCGACGTGGCCGGGTGAAACACTGGGCCGTATCTCTGCCGCCAGACGCCACCAGCCGTCAACCTAATATTTGTTCCCTCCCCTGTTCCTCTCTTTTCCTTTTCATTATTTTCACTACACCAATATACCAGAGTTATATCTTAGTTAATAAACATATAAGGTATAATATACACTTTTACGAGGCCTGTTAGAGGGATATAATTATTTACGAACATAAACTTTGCTGTTCTTGTGTGAAGATTGTAGCAGCGGCGGAGGCATCGTGGCTGGTTACGATAAGCACCGCCACTACACACTCGTAGCGTAAAACATATCACACCCAACAAAGGCTTGCCAGAGACCTCTTCTCCCCACCCCCCTCCCGGCCCCATCACGTCCCCCCCTTCAGCGTGGTCTACTCCTCCTCCTTCATTATAACCTCCCGATGTGATTTTTATCAATGAATCAACAATATTGATTCAGTGGTTGAAACAATGAGCCGTCTGGCCGTAGTACGACACGCGACGATACGATAGTTTCCCATCCCGCGTACGATGCATCATTTACTATACTCATGCCTGCAGCGGATGGAATTTTTAATTACAGTAGCATTTTTTCTGCCGTGGAATTTGATGCGAGGTAATGGCGCAGGAATGTTGTAAATTAGAGTTTGGTGTAACTTGCGTATGAGGGAATTTGGCCCCGTCTCTATTGTAAATATGATGTCGATTCCTTCACGCATATTATCTGTGTATTCTGCCCTCATCTTGTACATTCCTCTGAGCCAAACAAGACACAGAATATTGAGTGATACATATTTGGTTTATAATATTAAGGAAGAAAAAACCAGATTATCATACCATACGTTAATTAAAAACTACCTCGTCTAAAAGCTTATCAGAAGCGGCTTGAATAGAACCTGAACACTCTGGCCCACTCGACCATGGAAGCTCATAAACAAAAGCGACCAAGAGGGACTTTTTTTTTGTGTGTCACTGAACTACTTAACTACCTCTACCGAGAGACGCACTAACTACCCTTCCACTCGGCCTCAATGTTATGAAGTTCATAAGAGAAACGAATCACAATGAACGGTTTAAAAAGTCTCTCTCATTAAGTTATTGTATCATCATTAATCATAGTCAGAGCTTTAAGGTTTTCTCATATCTCAAAAGTCCTTCTCTGCCAAAATGTCCATCTCTTCTAGGGTCTCATAAGTCCCTCTCCGACATCTCAAAAAGTCCCTCTCCTACAACTCAAAAAGTCCCTCTCTCTAATTCATCCCAAATTCCTTCTCGCCCATCACTTCAAAATTCCCTCTTCCTCCCTCCTTCCTTTTCACTTTAAAAATCTCTCTCCGATTCAATGCACCTTAAAAAAAGTCTCTCTCCCTTTGATGGCCGCAATTCCCTTTCCTCCTACTACTCAGAAAGTCCCTCTCCGCCTCTAGCTCAAATGGTCATCCTCGTCGCAGCACACGTGTCTCGTGCAGAACACACTCACGCATCACTACCATGAAACAACAACAACTTTGCATTGGAATTAACCAAAGATGCCAAGTTAGTCACTACAACGGGAAACACTGAACCTAACTCAACCCCGACAGTAAAACAAACAATACCCGTTTTGGCGCTCATTAAAAAAAATCTAGTTTAGTTACCCCTTATATTAACACAATCAATGGTCACTTAATTACCCATCACAATAGAGAACAAGAAGAACTTTCACAATTAAACATAAAGAAGGTCAACTCACGGGTTCCTCGATGGCGTGGGGATGGATGGTGTTACTGAGGATGATGTCTTCGTGTCGCGCCGCGCCCATCAACACGGCTCCAGCCCTGTCCACACCCGCGTAGCTCCTGTCGTACAGACCCACCTGCCCGCTCTGCAACACCCACGCCCGTGGTGATGTGGTTAGTCAGGGGTGCTGCGTGACCAGGGAGACACACCACCACATCTCACACTATCCACCTCATCTTATAAGTTTTCCATCCATACTTTGTCTTTTACAGCGATACTTTTTTTTTGCATAGATTCTTTTGCTCTGGTAATTAATCTCTGTTTTGTAATAGCACAGAAATTTTGTATTTTTAGTCAAAATTTTTAAGAGTTATACTTCCATTTTTTGCTAATTAAAAATTTTTTTGGCTATCACAGCAAATTTTTTCACATTCATACTCCACGTTCCTCTCAAAAGTACTGAAGCATCCAAATGTGTTTCATTAGTTTTTAATTATCATATAATATCGTCATTTATTTATTTCATAGATATAGTTGATTAATTGTACTTAAGAATATAATGTTTCTTTCATTTAACACTATGAGATGAGGGAGACTGGGCTGGGTGTTGGGACGCTTCAGTCTGGCTGTACACTCACCACATCTTGGCCACGCGTCAAGCTCCACACACTCGAAGGTTCCTACAATCAATATTCCTCATAACTAAAGATATACATACCCTTAATTGATTTACGTAATATAAAGTACAAATACCATAAAATATTACAATTACAATACACCTAAATTTACCTATTAACTAGGTTGTCCAAATACTACTAAAAAATATAATCTAGGAAAATGTTTTTAGATGCGTAAATAAAAAAACAATTACATTACATTACATTACATTACATTAAAAGCCTGGTAAAACAATTATAAACTGAAGCATTAAATAACACACGAACAGTTCAGTGTGTGTTAATCTCGAGTGTGTGGGTATTGTTCACAGCCTAGAGTAACTTGCCTTCAGCCTTACCCCCAACACCCACCACCTCCCGCACCTGCAGGACAACAAAAGCCACCACAGGCCCTTACACTACTTACGACGTGAAGTGGGTCCTCCCTTCGTGGTACCTCGTGTCTGTTCTGCAGCGTCGCCGAGGTGTAGGTTGTGTAGTTGGCTGGAAGAGAATGCAGCTGGTAGGGGTCGGCGGCTGGGTGGTGTGTCTGCAAACATCACAAAGACGCTTAGTTAGTTAATGGTTTATGGGTGGGAAGAGAAGTGGGTGTGTGGGGAGGTGGTGTGGTCAAATGTGGGTGGGAAGAGGGGTGAATATGTGTATGTTGAAGCGGTGTGGTTGATCTAGCGTTGTGGTGAGGTGAAGGAGAGAAGGTAGGTAGGTAGGTAGGTAGGTAGGTAAGGTGGTGGAGGAGTGCACAAGGGTAGAGTGAGAGACCATGGTGACAGGTGTTGGACTGCGAGGGAGGAAGAGGAAGAAAAGGAAGAGGAAGAATAAGAAAAGGAAGAGAAAGAATAAGAGGAAGAGGAGAAGAATACATGGTGTGATTATAATTAACATCGTATTAAAGATAAAAATATGATAAAGCTCACAATAGGAATAACTGAATAACTCAAGAATAATAAAAAAAAACACAAAAACCATGAAACTAATAAAAATAACTACAGGTATCATAATAAAGCATGATAAGTAAAGCATAATCAGTAAAAATAGTATGTGTGGTAAGTATAATAACAAGCATGATAAGTATTACACCGGGGATGGTATAATAATTTAGCTGTTGTCAGTAGGAAGCTCAGCAGGAGGGTGGAGGAACCAGATGTGGACAGGTGGGGGTGAAGGTAATACAGATGATTTAATGAAGTAGGGGAGAGAACCAAGGTTGTCAGCTCGTGTGTCTGTGTGTGTGTGTGTGTGCTTAGGTTATAGGAGGGTGAGCGTATAGTGTGTGTGTGTGTGTGTGTGTGTGTGTGTGTGTGTGTGTGTAATTAGGAGTTGGTATATCAAGGGAAGAGGTTAGCATTTGCCGAGTGAAGTGATTGAGACCATGAAAGTAATAAGGGTTTACACACACACACACACACACACACACACTTACCCTGAATTAATAACACAACACTGTAATGTAATTAGTGTAACATACAATTTGATAAGAAAAATATCTAATACTGTAAAAATTTCTACCAATACGATTATTTATTTTATTTTTTCTCTAAGGATGTGAGAAGGGTGATGACGTGAAAAGGGTGATGACGTGAGAAGGGTGATGACGTGAGAAGGGTATGATGACGGTGATGACGTGAGAAGGGTGATGACGTGAGAAGGGATGATGACGATGACGAAGAAGGATGATGACGATAAGAAGGATGATGACGTGAGAAGGGTGATGACGTAAGAAGGATGATGACGTAAGAAGGATGATGACGTAAGAAGGGTGATGACGTAAGAAGGGTGATGACGTGACGTGAGAAGGGTGATGACGTAAGAAGGATGATGACGTGAGAAGGGTGATGACGTAAGAAGGATGATGACGTTAGAAGGATGATGACGTGAGAAGAATGATGACGTGAGAAGGACAATGACGTGAAAAGAATGATGACGTGAGAAGAATGATGACGTGAGAAGAATGACGACATGAGAAGGGTGATGATGTGATAAGGATGATGACGTGAGAAAGATGATGACGTGAGGAACTATCGCATAAGCAACATAATAAGGGGAGGAACACGTAGGGATACACCTGTAATTAACAAGACACAGGTGTTCTCAGGGGTCGTGGGAGAAGGTGAATAAAATTGCCTGACGTAAGATAAATAAAATACTAAAAGTGACGTCTTGAAGTGAAGGGGTTAAGAGTTTAATCGAACAGGTGTAAAGTGGAGTGAAGATTGTTTTCAGTTATTGATAATAAACAAAAGGAAAGGTGATAAAGAAGGAGCTGGAAGATTAAGTCAAAGATGATCTGAAGCTAAACGGATTAACAACATCAACTACCATACAACACAGAAGGTATTTTGAACATGAGATAAGATTTGAAACACGAGGAAAATATTTGAAATATAGGTGTTGTTAGTGAAGACTGATGAGCAACAGGTGTAGGTGAGAGGCCAGGTAACTAACAACACTACAGGATTGCTCTAAGTTCTTAATGATGGAGGTTAATAAACTACAGAACAAGACGATGACGTGAGAACACAAAGCGTAAATATTGTCTCTCTGGGGACCAGGAGGCTCAAGCACTAGCACCTTCCACTTGCTAGATTCGTTACTCGGCGGCGACAATCATTTGCTCGTATTTCCAGGTTCCAGAGACACAGTTTCCGATCACATTCATCCTTATTTCCCAGATCAGTGACGTCATTACTTCTCGCCCGCTGATTGGACGACAGGGCGCCGTGCATCAGGTTATTGAGCAAACAGTCTAGCTATCAAGTCTAGTTTTAAATTAAAAGTTTAACTTATTTATCTGCTGTGAATTTCGTGTGTATATACAGTACATTAAATGATAATCCTCGTAATTTCCGCTGCCAACTCAGAAGCGGATTCACACTACACAGCCGCACATCAGCTGCAGTAGAGGTCAGCAGCTGTGTACTGTAGGTGACTGTTATAGATAAAGTGATCTCTAGCCCGGCCACACATGACGACCTTGACCCAACACTCACCTCTGGGTCATTCTCAGCGCCATGGCGGGCTGCCTTACACTCGTCCTATAAAGACAGTGCCAGTACTGGCAGCCACATATAGCCCGGCGTTCCCCAGTCATCGAGTGACGGTGAACTAATGAGAGATACGCCAGACAAACGTTCACCCGGAGTCTGCCAGCACAATGAGATGAGCATTAAAGAGACGCAGCTATACCTGCCTGTAGGTGTTGTGACTACAACAGGTACTCACCGTCATCTGGTTCTCTGTGCCCAGGTAGGGAGGGGGGAAGTAGGGTGGCTGGAAGTCGGTGGTGGGCGTGTGTATCCTGGGCGTGGAGGCGAAGGAGGCTGACCCGCCCACGCCCCCGATGCTCGTGATTGGTCCCAGGCTGGACGGGTGCCCGCCCACGCGTTCCTGAAATGTCAAAGAAGGGGCGGGGTGAGTACAAGGAGGCTGTTATAAAGGGGGGAAGGGCGGGGCTAATACACAGATTGTATTAACTCAAGGACGCCGCCAATACCTGTTGAAGAAAGGCAGAGTAACACAGGTCTTATGTACTGACTCTGGCAGACGATGATTACACTCAGGGAAGTTCCTACACAAGGGGAGGGGGGGGGGTGAGGGAGGTGGGAGTAAAAAAAGATATGAACAAGTAAAACCTGACGGTAAACTGGATAAATATTTCTTATACCAAAAGCATAATGCCAGTACACAAAAGAATTAAAATGTGCAAAAACTAAAGTGATTCAGGTACTACAGATGGTATTGAAGGCTCAGTATCCCAAAGATCTTAATAAAGTATATAACAAAAAAATCGACGACTATAAAAAACAAAAGGTCTTGGTCAGTACTTGAGGAGACAACTGGACAAGAACTGAGCAACTGGAGGGAGTCAAGACGTTTGTCCTCCGTGTGGTAATAACAATGGCCTCGGTATACCCTAGAGAAGATCTTATATATACACGGATTATATATAGTCTTATATATGAGTAAAGTCTATGAAGGTTGTAAATAGATAAAGTAAGGCTGCAGTGTAGGAGCAGCCTCACCAGGTACAATGTCAATATAACGAAGAAGTTTATACAGGTAACATGGGGTTGACGTCAGCATACTGTAGGTGTTTCAGTGCCACAGGGAGCCAAACTACGTGAGGGGGAGGAGGTGTCTGTGCTGAGGTGGTGAGAGGAGGAGGAGGGAGAGACAAGAGAGAGGTATAGTGAGTGGAGGAGGAGGGAGAGGTGAGAGAGGTGTAGTGAGTGGAGGAGGAGGAGGGAGAGGTGAGAAAGGTGTAGTGAGGGAGGAGGAGGAGGGAGAGGGAGAGAGGTGTAGTGAGTGGAGGAGGAGGAGGAGAGGTGAGAGAGGTGTAGTGGGTGGAGGAGGAGGAGGGAGAGACAAGAGACAGAGGTATAGTGAGTGGAGGAGGAGGAGGGAGAGACAAGAGACAGAGGTATAGTGAGGGAGGAGGAGGAGGGAGAGGTGAGAGAGGTGTAGTGAGTGGAGGAGGAGGAGGGAGAGACAAGAGACAGAGGTATAGTGAGTGGAGGGGAGGAGGGAAAGACAAGAGACAGAGGGTGTGAGGGAGGAGGAGGAGGGAGAGGTGAGAGAGGTGTAGTGAGTGGAGGAGGAGGGAGGGTGAGAGAGTAGTGAGTGAGGAGGAGGAGGGAGAGGAGAGAGGTGTGAGTGAGGTGGAGGAGGAGGAGGAGAGACAAGAGACAGAGGTATAGTGAGTGGAGGAGGAGGAGGGAGAGGTGAGAGAGGTGTAGTGAGTGGGAGGAGGAGGAGGGAGAGACAAGAGACAGAGGTATAGTGAGTGGAGGAGGAGGAGGGAGAGAGACAAGAGACAGAGGTATAGTGAGTGGAGGAGGAGGGAGGAGAGAAGAGACAGAGGTATAGTGAGTGGAGGAGGAGGGGGAGAGGTGAGAGGGTATAGGTGAGGTGGAGGAGGAGGAGGAGGAGAGGTGAGAGAGGTATAGTGAGTGGAGGAGGAGGGAGAGGTGAGAGAGGTATAGTGAGTGGAGGAGGAGGGAGAGGTGAGAGAGGTGTAGTGAGTGGAGGAGGAGGAGGGATAGGTGAGAGAGGTATAGTGAGTGGAGGAGGAGGGTGTGTAAAAGTCATATTGTCGTGTGTATCTCGTCGCCTCATTTACACCTTCCTCGGTATCATTTGCACCTGGGGTTTCATGTACACTTTATCTGATTATCCTAACACGTATATCACGGATTATCTGCAGCGTTAGAAGAGCTAAAAGCTAAGTAGGTGGATTTTGTAGTTTGAAGTCAACCAAGTAGGTGGATTTTGTAGTTTGAAGTCAGCCAAGTAGGTGGATTTTGTAGTTTGAAGTCAGTCAAGTAGGTGGATTTTGTAGTGGTTACGGTGTAAGTTAACCAGTCAACTGCAGTCTTTCACCTACACGTAGTTACTAACTTACGACGCTCTGAGAATCCTGGCCAAGAGCCACCCGCCGCCACCCTCCCTCCCTGACACGTAAATCTAAATTATCTTAATCTAAATCTCACAGGTAAACACGACCCAGGAGGCAACAAGTGTCTCACCCACCCAAGGGTTTAGGCCTAAAGATCCAACCAACCAGCCAACCAACCAGCCAGCCAGCCAACCAGCCAGCCAGACAGCCAACCAGCCAGCCAGCCAGCCAACCAGCCAGCCAGACAGCCAACTAGCTAGTATATACCAACCAATCACGTCCTACTTCCATTCCCAAGCAGATTCATTTAGGCTGGGATGATAACTAGGAGCTATCATTAGCTAGAAGCCATCACTAGCTAGAAGCCATCACTAACTGGGAGCCATTACCAGCTAGGAGCCATCACCAGCTAAAAGCCATCACTAGCTAGAAGCCATCACTAGCTAGGAGCCATCACCAGCTAGGAGCCATCACCAGCTAAAAGCCATCACTAGCTAGAAGCCATCACTAGCTAGGAGCCATCACCAGCTAGGAGCCATCACCAGGAAGCCATCACTAGCTAGAAGCAGCTATCATTAGCTAGAAGCCATCACTAGCTAGAAGCCATCACTAACTGGGAGCCATTACCAGCTAGGAGCCATCACCAGTTAGAAGCCATCACTAGCTAGGAGCCATCACTAGTTAAAAGCCATCACTAGCTAGGAGCCATCACTAGCTAGGAGCCATCACCAGCTAGGGGCCATCACCAGCTAGGAGCCATCACCAGCTAGGAGCCATCACCAGCTAGGAGCCATCACTAGCTAGGAGCCATCACCAGCTAGGAGCCATCACTAGCCGAGGGTCGTCGTTAACTAGGACCAACTACCTCCTCACCAACTACTCCCCATCATTAGTTATCGTTCCTTATAAGAATAAATTATCGTTTAGTAAGGGACGAAGGGTGAGTTGATGCTGTGTGGCTCTTGTGGTGGTATACACACACACGCACACACACACGCACACAGACGCACACACACACAATCCCTATACACAATTAAGGTAAAAGCTCCTGTATCGCCAAGTCATTTAAGACCTATTTTTCTTCAGTGCTGAACCTTACTGCACGTCTATACTCCACCATTGTTTACATTCTAACACTTATATCAAAGGTGAAAGAGTTGTCCTGTAGCGGCTAATACAACTGTCGATAAAGATTCCTACATCAAATAACTAATTCTGGGTGAGCGGTTTATTACATATTTGTACATGACCGTGAAGGTGATGCTCTGCTGCGTGTGTGTGTGTGTGTGTGTGTACAGAACAATTATCTATCTATCTATCTATCTATCTATCTATCTATATATAATAAATCTGAATTAACTCGTACACAAACCTGATATAAAGATGGTTGGAATACGAATACCAAGGCTGAGGAGAAGAGAGAAAGGGGAGAAGGAGTAGAATGAAGATGGCAAAGAGAGAGATGGAGAGAAGGGTGGGAGGAAGGAAGGGAGATAGGGAGGGAATAAAGGTGGTAGATATTGAGTGAGGGTTTAAACCAGGGAGGGAGGGAGGGGGTAGGGAGGAAAGGAGAGAGGAGGAAGGAAAGAGAGGGAGGGAGTGAGGGTTGAAAGGAGGGTAAGGAGGGGGAGGGGAGGGTAGGTACGGTGAGAGGTAGGGAGGTAGGGAGGGTCAGAGGTAGGCTGGGAGGGAGCGAGGGTGGGCGAGAGGAAGTCAGGGAAATAGGGAAGGCGGGAAAGCCGAAGTTTAAATTGAAGTTGTATCGATTGTGACTCTGTAACGTGTACTACAGTGATGGTCTGGTGAACTGTAACGTTTCGGTAACCTTAAACAACAACAGCTACGATAATAATAATGATAATAATAATAATAATAATAATAATAATAATAATAATAATAATAATAATAATAATAATAATAATAATAATAATCGCCGAGATAGATAGAGAGAAAATATAATCTTCATCAACAAATATTATATGCAACAACTTCCAAAAATGTAACACACAAAGGCCATTATTCCCTTGTGTTGTTTTCCGTATAGTGCCCCCCCCCCCCTACACACACACATCAATCAGCGTAACACCGTGTTATTTGGTAAAAGGCTTCCCCACTGTACGTGCCAAGGCCCCCAGGCAGCCATTTCGCAACCCGTCCTTACGCCCTCACTGCTTCAACACCTAAATCCTTAAAATTTGGTTCATACGTAAAAAAATAAATCACCAAACATTCATACGGACATTCACTGGTAAAATTAAACACAGTAGTTGTTATTGAAGTAAGATGATCGACGAAGGGTAAAATGATCCTTACTCTTTGGATGACGTTTACAGGTAACTTCAAGACTACATAAGGAGTATCAGAGACGCTACACAACATTAATCAGGTTCTAATCCTAACTATGATCCTCTCTTGAGACATATGACAGTGTTTAGTATGGAGATGGCGACAATTATTCACAGCTAGTCCCAGCGATTGACGACACACTCACCATTGTATCTCCGTGTAATTGATGATATTTATTTACTGCAGTCCTTACTAATGACGACACCACACGCAGACATTGATGTTATTTACACCCTCGCCCCAAACCACCGCCCACCCTCTTTAGATCACCGCCCACCCTCGCCCCAAACCACCGCCCACCCTCCTTAGATCACCGCCCACCCTCGCCCGTGCGCCCTCACAGTAATACTCATTAAGGGATGTATCACCACCCCGTCACATTATCATGGACGGGGTGGACACTCTCTCCCTTGGGGGTCGGGAAGTGAGACACCTACATGACGGTTTGAGGAGGAGGAATAAAAGGATGGAGGACGATGAGAAGAAAAGGGTTAAGAGAAGGAGGATTAAGAAGAGGAGAACAAGATGGTAAATAAAAAAAATGGGAAAAACAGAAGGAATAAGAGAAGAAAGAAAAATAGGAGGAAGAACAAAGAAAATAACACCAACAGGAATATTAAAAAGTCAAAAGACGAAGAACAAGAAC